GTGAACCAAAAATGTGATTTTTGGTGGGTGTCGATCGACACTGTGTAGGTCTGTCGATCGACACGGGTTGTTGTTCTCCTGAAGAATCGGACAGGGAAGTCCGCGTCGAACGACAGGGCTTGTGAGTGTCGATCGACACTGGCTGAAATCAGACTTAGGGTTTTGATTTCGGTTCGTTTTGGTTAATGGGCCGGTTTAGGGAACTAGGGTTCCGTATATAAAAGATTAGAGAACACGTTCTCATCTCTTTTTAGCCACTTTTCGTTCAGAATTGAGAATTGAGAGAGTTTGAGAGGAAGTTAGGGTTTCTCTTGTGTGAAGAAGAGATTTCTGGCGGTTTTTGGAAGGACAGACGGACGGTGAGTTTTGATCGGATTTGAGCGAGACTTTGAGGGTAAGTTTTCTGATCTTCCCTCTTGCCGTAGGCGAAAACCGCGTGCCTTTTGGATGTGTATTCGCTGAGTTATGGCCGTTTGATTGTGTGAGGTTTCTGCAGTCTCGAGTCTGCGATCAGTCCACTTCGAGGGAGGATTTCCGTCGAACCAGAGAGAATCAGGAGACGATCCTTACGCCGTTGGAAAGCTCTCTCTGTCTAGTTTTTGTATTAGGGTTCGGATCCTGATTTGGAGGTAATCACCGTTCTCTTACCCTAGAAGTTCCACTCTAATCCGATCCGATCTTCCCGGCCGTTCGTCTACCCTTCTAAAATCGGACAGAACTGTTTTCAAAGCAATAATATCTTCTTTTCTCTCACAGCGTACGAAATCCTGTCCTTTTCCTCTCCAAAATCGGCTGCAAAAACGTCTCCATACGTTTTTATATCCTGCCCTAGGGTTCCCTAAACCGGATGTCAAACCAAGCGATCAAGAACCGAACTTGTCAGTTCGATTTCAACTTACGTCGATCGACGCACATCACTTGTGTCGATCGACGCAACACCCAGAACCCGACTACTCGCGAGTCCAAACACGTATGTCGATCGACACACACACTGTATCAATCGACGCACCAACCAAAAATACATATTTTGGTTCACGGGCGTTACAGTTGCGAGACACAATATCTATACCGTGACCCAAGAAAAAGATAGAGCAATTGAGTGAACAAAAAGATCCATAAATATGAGACAGAAAGATGACATAAAAAGAGACTAAATTTTTGGAAAAGAGGGATAAATGTAGAGTTTTATCTACCCGTACTCGGATAACAGGTCCGCAGCAATAGTTGGATCGGGGTTTGCCTCAATACGACGCACTTCCGTCCTTTTTACTTGCTTGTTGTCCGACAATACAGTCATACAATACTGTGCTATGTCTTTATCATACTGATCACAGCGCCTGATGTCATGGTGCTCATCTAGATCAACTTTATTTGCTTAAATCGTTCTGCATTGCTGGACCACTTGCTTTTACCCGTACACACATAAGATGAATGTTTTTCACTCTTTGAACGAAGATTTGGTTCAATAATATTTGAAAGGATTTGTGTGTCGCGTCCAAGAAAAGAAATCCATGCCTTGCCCAGGCACTGCTGTTGCTTCCCACTATTTGTGGCTACTTGTACGCTAGCCTCAGTTTCCAACACCAATCATCCTTTGTAGTATGGCCACGCCATTGGTAGAAGTTTCTAAACCTATGGTAGCGGGGTAACATTGTATCCATTTTCTTTGAAGACAATTAATTTACCTAATTTAATATATAATTGTTTTAAACCAATAAATAATTCATTTCTTCTTCTTCACATTTGCTACATATATATAGTTAGCTATGTAGGGATTCAATATTTTTTTGCTTTACCTTTGTCTTCTTTTCGCATGGTTTACACTATGAGGATATTGTAATATGTCGGCTTAGGCTATGAGGATTTGGCGCTCTGTCAACTTAGCTTCCGAGACAGTTTCTATTAGCTCCCAACTTTTCTAAGCTATTGTAAACTTTAGTTATCAATATATATTTCAAATGACAAAAATCAATCTACCAAAACAAAAACAAAATAGGTGTCTATATGCTTCACTATGCTCCACTCTAATTCTAACTACTATTTTCTTATATAGCATAAATAACTATGTTTTGTAACTCATTCGACACTTGTTTTTTTTATCCGCAATAGTTTCATTACAATCCATTAAAACCAATACTAGTGGAAATACGGTTTCCAACAATCTTGGACTTTATACATTAAAGGATAAATTTTTTTTTTATCCTTTAGATAAATGTTTCTCGAAGATGGCAAAGATGGGGAGGAGCGCCGTTATCGACCCGCCGGTTAGAACTGCACTTAATTCATCTCCATTTTTTATCATTTTCGGACACTATGTCGTACCACCTTATCAAAGACCCGTTAACAACAAAGGAAAATGTCATATGTGCAGTTTATAATTACACCAAATGTCACATTGTAGTTTTTAATCACAAAAATATCGCATTGGCAAAATTTGGATGAAAATGCCCATGCTTTATCTTTGTTCGAGTTGCATTTAATGCATCTGCTTTAAGTCAGTTTTGATGCATTTAATATGGATTTGACTTCTAAATAAGAGATGTATGTATACTACCATATATACAAATCAATAAGAGATGTACGTATACTATCATGTACACAAACTCATATAAACATGCGTACACTATCATGTACACAAATTATATAAACATGTGTCATTCGTCATGTACACATGTACACTGACCTCGTAATTGTACACAAATAGTAAAGGATATTCATGTACACGTATACGTACACTTAATGATTCCATGGTTATAGTGTACGTGCATGCGTTAAAATTAAAGGGGTATATGGAGTACTTATGCGTATACCATATAGTTGCGATTACAGTTGTACGTCTATGTGTGGTTTTACTGAGTGTACATGAATGGTGACATCAACCAAAAACTTGACTGGTATACCAAAAATATGTGTACACGAGAGTAACTATAATCATTAGATATGTAGTGTACATATAATTTCACTTAGTGTCCATGACTGGTGACATATATATATATATGACCATTACTCATGAACAAGAGTAGATTAGAGCAAAAATTGAAAGAAATATAGATCTCACACAATCGCAAATCTTCATTTCTTCACACAAAGGAATAAGTTGAATATGTAAAGGGGAGAAGACAAAACAAAAGCAAAGTCCGAATAGATAAAAAAGAATCCACATTTAGCCAAAAAAAAAAACTGATTGCAGTCCCAAACCATGCTAAAGATGAAAACAAAACAGAGAAACTATTTACGAGGAGCACGATGCCAGTTAGAGAAACTCCGGTCTCCAAACGCAATATTTAAGAGATAGTGCTTACAAGTTCTAGAGAGAAGATTCTTAAAAAAAAAAGTTCTAGAGATAAGATGGAGCTTCTAGACAAAAAGCTTTAGATGCCTCCATTCGACTTTTGCTTAACAAAGTAGTTAGCGACGAAATACTACAACACCATAAAAATAGCCAACTATTTTGTTAATCCTAAATAGTAAATATTGTGAGATTCGAAACTCGAACAATATAATTTGTTTAGGGTTTGATGAATAGAGACTTTTATGTTACGAATCACGGAATGCAAAAAATAAGAAGATAGGTTTTTCTTTATTGATGTTCTGCGAATCAATGTTACAAGTGTTTATGCGAAAAGCTGCGGATTCCCCTCAATGAAGGTTTACAATCATATTTATAGGTATTCCGCGGCTAGGGTTTCTCCTTGATGAGATAAGGAAACCTTCCGTGATTCGCGGGATTCTCCTAAAAGTGAAGTCGGCGGCGCATCGTGGGCTTCCCTCCGCGGCTCGGTCCACTTTCTGTTGCTTCGGCCAATCCACGTGGTTCAACCCAATACTCGATCACCATCACCCCGCGGCTCGGCCCATTCCTTGTTTTTCACCGTCGTGCGAGTCGGATTTATGGCTTACCGCGGGTTGAATTTTCGATTTACCGCGGGTCGGATATATGGCTTACCGCGGATTGAATGTTATGGTTTACTGTGGGTTGAATGTTCGGTTTACCGCAGGTCAGGGTTATGGTTTACCACGGGTCGGATGTTATGGTTTACCGCGGGTTGGTTAAACCAGGAGATGAGGTTTTTCCGCGGGTTTCATGTTTAAGAATTTCTGGGGAAAACCTGTTAAGAGATTTCCGCGGGAAACCTGTTAAGAGATTTATGTGGGAAATCTGTTAACATTTTACGTATTGATTCACAAGGGGTGGATTTTGACCCCTACGATTCGGGCTTATTGTATGTTTGTATCGGGTCCTCAAGAACATGAGTTAGGCTTTGCAAAGTGATTTTTTTTTGTTGGTTTACCGTCGGCTAGGGTTAACCCCACCGCCGTCGCTCGTTCGGGACTGCCAGAAAGCTGCGCCGTCGAGCCGAAGGCCCGACCCGCGTCTCATCCGCCACACGACCGCGAACCGTAGTGCCCTCGAGCCGTAACGCTCCCGAGCCGCGATGCGACATGGCAAAGGACCGTGGCGAAAGCCCGTAGAGTTTCATGGCCCCGAGCCGTGTAGTACCATGTTGGAATCATCCTGAGCCACGGGAAGTTGGAGGGACGAGCTGTGACGCATTGTGTGAAACGCCAAGAATCACGTTCGTACGAGCTGTGACGCGTTGTGGGTCTTTGTCGTGAATCGCGTTTGGCCATGATCTATTTTTTTCCGAGACGCGATGCGTGTGCCGAGGTGTCGCGACTCCAATCCGTTTTGCGTTGGGAGTTTCGTTATTATGACGTATCCTGTTTTTGCGGCTGTTCATGGGAATGTTGTGAGCTGTGGTAAGGAGAAAGTCGTGGGTCGTGATACAGACAAGCCGTGCGCCATGATAAGGAGAAGGTTGCGGGTCGCTGAGCCCACTGCCGCTGAGACGAGGGTTAGAGGTGTCATTACAGCTATCGTCGATAGGATTGTGAGAGACTGGGAAGCCGGTCAGCAGTCTGTTAAGAATGCCGAGACTGTCGGCCCTGTCTCTAATGGTTCGTTGGAGCTAGTACCCGTTGTAGCGAGTAACAGGCCGCGGAGGAGGGTAACCCGTAGCTCATTTCACTCTTTGTTTTTTATGCTTTTACTTTTGAACTTAGACTATTTGGACGCCTGGATGGCTTTATCCGCTTTTAGGATTTTTGCTATGATGCCTAGACAGCTTTATCCAACTTTTAAGATTTTCGCTATGATGTCTGGATGGTTATATCCATATTCTAGGATTTTTACCTTGTAGTCCTGTTTGATACGAGATGATAATGAATGCGGCTTTTGTTTATTTAATTGTTTTTCTTGTGATAAGTCAAAATGTTCTTTCCGAAATACCAAAAGACTTAGTAATTTTTGTATCTGTTTCAAGGCTTGCTGCGGAAAGTTCGCTAACGATCTCTGTGGGAAATCTGTTAAGGATTTCTACGGGTAGTCTGTTAATGATCTCCACGGGAAACTTGTTAAGGATTTCCATGGGTAGTGTGTTAAGGATCTCCGCGGAAAACCTGATAAGGATTTCCGCGGGTTTTCTCCTTAAGGATTACTGCGAGTTTCCTCCTTAAGAATTTATGAGGGTAGTGTGTTTAATGATTTCCGCAGGAAATCCGTTTAAGGTTTTTTACGGGAAACCTGTTAATGGTGGTTCATTTTTCTAAGTATCATGGTTTACAGATGGGTTTAAGTGAATTTATCCGCTCCAAAGACTACTATAGTTTGTTGATGTGTTAAAGATTTGCTTGTAGGATTTCGCGATGGGCTATCCGGTTTACAAACGAGTTTAATCTTAACAAGTATGCTCCACATATAGGCGAGTTTCGCGGTTAGGACCAATGTCTTGCTTATTGGGTTTTCTGATGAACATATTTGGTTTACAGACAAGTTCCTTTCTAACGAGTTTGCTCCATAAATAAACATGTATAGCGTTGCGACCAACGATTTGGTATTTGGGTTTAGAATGATCATTTCGGTTTACGGAAATGTTTTCTATAAACATCGCTCCTATAATAAACATATAGCGATATAACCAGCGATTTGCTTGCTGGGTTTAGAATGAATATTTCGGGTTACGCACGTGTTACTCTTTAAACACACCCGCTTGATAATGGTCATATACAAAATTGTATAGTGCGCTCTGATCCTGCGAATGATGTAATGGTTAGATATGAAGTAATTGTTTTTTGTTATGAGTTCGTTGTTGTGGCCAGCAGTAACGAGAGTATGTAAAATATGTCTGATTTCGTTAAGATTTTGAGAATCCGTGAAGGATGTATACGAGATTTGAATGAATTTTTGTTTTTGAATAGTCAAAAAATTGCT